ATTTAGTGGAGAAGGACAAACCGCTCAGGGACTTGTTGTCTAAACGGAACCATTGGGCCTGGGGAGCAGACCCTAAAAGAAGGGCTGTCCTCAACTCCCGTGTTGGCCCTATACGACCCTAAGAAGGACATTAAAGTGTCAGCAGATGCTTCCATCTTCGGGCTGGGGGCAGTCCTCACTCAGAGGTGGGCCAACAGATGGAAAACTGTGGCATATGCATCACGCTCTCTCTCCCCAATGGAGCAGCGCTATGCTCAGGTAGAAAAAGAAGCACTAGGCCTGACGTGGGCATGTAAGCGATTCAGAGATTATTTGCTTGGCAAGTACAGTACACGACACACGATGGACTGTTGCTGGTATTCAGGCAATGTACAAGGTGTTGCGGTAAATAAAGGTTCCCTGAATGCTATCACAGTGTTGAGCTCATGCTCATTTGGATTGATAATGCAACAGATTCAAGACTAGATATGTTGCAGTATGCAGATATTGCACTTGTATAAAATAATATTTTTATTACAAAGCAATAATTTTTATATTAGCATTTTCAGGTAATCCTATGGAAAAATATCAACTATTTGTCTAAACAGTTTTTTTGCATTACAGAGCTAATCTGACACCATTCAAGTTGAATTAAACAAATGCACGAATACAGTACAAAAAACTTCGGAACAATCACTCTACTCTGTGCTCTTGTTTCAACAAAACTGAAAAAAATACAGTGACAGATTGCACTAAACTGGCTATGAAGACAAGTTAGCTAAACTTGAGGAGCAGAGATAACATCCAAATACCTGAAACTGTGGAAACATCCAATGCTCTTACTTACCTCTCCTCCTCAGTACCAAAATGGTGCAGCTTCCTGGCAGGAGAAAAGATTGAGACTATGTGAGCACATCGCACTAGACCTCCCAATGAACCTAACCTTCCCAATACCGTGATCGCCAAACTACTTCATGGACCACAACAAGATTCTCAAAGCCACAAAGGCATCGCCCTTGAAAGCAAGAACATACATTTCACAGCTGAGTACAGCACCTTCACTTTTCACTGGCACCGTGCTTTCTCTTCAGCCATAAACAAAGACAATGGGCTAGTTTGCCTGTTAAGCCTCTTAGTTCTGTGATGAACTCCGTTATTAGTCCCACCTGCTGCCTGTTTCCCCGTGCCTCATGATTGTTAATTGTGCTATCCTCTCATTGTCCTGCACCCTCTGTGATTGGTTAATTGTTTCGGGTGTCACTCCTGCTCCTTTGTTATAAGGTTTAGTTTGTGTATTGAAGTTCCTGCCTGTGTTCCTTTTGGTAGTGTCTGTCCGTCCATCAGGCGGTCAGTCAGTGCTGGGTAGGGGTTAAAGTTATCATGTTGGTGTCATGCCTTGCTCGTGCCGATCCTCCTGTTTACCACGTCCCCCTCGCTACCTTGTGTGGAATTCCAATGTCTTCTGCTGTTTCTAATCTTGTTAATACCTGTTGTGTATTTAAGTCCACATTAGAGTATGTTTCCCCAGTCCAGTCATTAATGTTGTGACGTTCTGCGGTGATTTTGTGGTCCGGCTTGTTTTCCCTTAATTAAAACCCCCGTATTCGCCTGATTCCTGAAGTCCTGTTCCTTCGTTCTTGGTCCGTGCCCCGGTGACTCATGATAGTTGGGATTATTGTTTTTCCCATAGAAATGAATGGAGAGTCCCCACAAAGATGTACAGTTAGGTCAATATACAGTGCCTGACAAAAGTCTTGTCACTTAACCAAGTTGTAGGAATAACAAATAATAACTTGACCTGTAGTTAATCAGTTGGAATCAGAAATGGCTTATAAGAAAAGGCAAAGCCCTCTAGATTATGCTNATAAAATAATATTTTTATTACAAAGCAATAATTTTAATATTAGCATTTTCAGGTAATCCTATGGAAAAATATCAACTATTTGTCTAAACAGTTTTTTGCATTACAGAGCTAATCTGACACCATTCTAGTTGAATTAAACAAATGCACAAATACAGTACAAAAAACTTCGGAATAACCACTCTACTCTGTGCTCTCGTTTCAACAAAACAGAAAAAAATACAGTGACAGATTGCACTAAACTGGCTATGAAGAAAAGTTAACTAAACTTGAGGAGCAGAGAGCAGAGATAACATCCAAATTCACAAAATACCTAAAACTGTGGAAACATCCAACGCTCTTACTTACCTCTCCTCCTCAGTAACAAAATGGTGCAGCTGCCTGGCAGGAGAAAAGATTGAGACTATGTGAGCACATCGCACTAGACCTCCCAATGAACCTAACCTTCCCAAAACCGTGATCGCCAAACTACTTCATGGACCGCAACAAGATTCTCAAAGCCACAAGGTCATTGCCCTTCAAAGCAAGAACATACATTTCACAGCTGAGTACAGCACCTTCACTTTTCACTGGCACCATGCTTTCTCTTCAGCCACAAACAAAGAGAATGGGCTAGTTTGCCTGTTAAGCCTCTTAGTTCTGTGATGAACTTAGTCCCACCTGCTGCCTGTTTCCCCGTGCCTCATGATTGTTAATTGTGCTATCCTCTCATTGTCCTGCACCCTCTGTGATTGGTTAATTGTTTCGGGTGGCACTACTGCTCCTTTGTTATAAGGTTTAGTTTGTGTATTGAAGTTCCTGCCTGTGTTCCTTTTGATAGTGTCTGTCCGTCCATCAGGCGGTCAGTCAGTGCTGGGTAGGGGTTAAAGTTATCATGTTGGTATCATGCCTTGCTCGTGCCGATCCTCCTGTGTACCACGCCCCCCTCGCTACCTTGTATGGAATCTCAATGTCTTCTGCTGTTTCTAGTCTTGTTAATACCTGTTGTGTATTTAAGTCCACATTAGAGTATGTTTCCCCAGTCATTAATGTTGTGACGTTCTGCGGTGATTTTGTGGTCCTGCTTGTTTTCCCTTAATTAAACCCCGTATTCGCCTGATTCCTGAAGTCCTGTTCCTTCGTTCTTGGTCCGTGCCCCAGTGACTCATGATAGTTGGGATTATTGTTTTTCCCATAGAAATGAATGGAGAGTCCCCACAAAGATGTACAGTTAGGTCCATATATATTTGGAAACTGACACAAGTTTTACTTAAATTATACCTGTTTACTGAAATATATTACAATTGAAGTTATACAGTGGGGATGGACATAAAGTGCAGACTCTCATATTTCATTTCAGGGTTTCCACATCCAAATTGGATGAAGGGTTTAGGAGTTTCAGCTC